CGCCGCCCGCCCCGGTATAGGGAGAACCGCCGGGGGTCCTAGCGCCGCTCTCTCCGCGCCGGGCCCCGACTGCCGAGGGCACCGGTGTGGGCAACGGGATGCCGAGGCGGGGGGATGGGGTTGGGGGGGGGAAGGGTGTGTAGCAGCGCTCTCCGGGGGAGGCAGGAGGAGCAAGTGGTGCCTGACACGCTGCCAGGCCACATTGCTGGGATGCCACGGCCTCCCCCACGCTGCCCGGGCAGCCCAGGGCTCCTCTCGGGGGATTTCGTGGGGTGAAGAGGAGGAGGCTTCACCGCTGACACCGACCTGCTCCCCCCCGCTGCAGTGAATAGCACCTTTCCAGAAGGATTTTGGCGCTGCTGTGCCAGGGATGCCCTTCCTGTGTGGGGCTGGGGCAGCTGGAGAACCCAGCAGAGAGCTCCACGGGCTGTTCTGCCCCCACTCACCCACGGGAAGCCATCCTGGCAGCATCCCCAGCTCCTCCCTTGACCCCAGAACTTGGCCTCTGCCGAAACGGGAGCAAACGTGGATCCTTCTGCCCATCCTGCTCACCCCTGGCTCCACCCAAACGTGTGCCATCTGTTATGGGTTCAAAGACCTGCTGTGGCAGCTCCGTGCAGCGGGCTCAGGGCCACACACGTGCCCGTGGTGTGTCCCGTCTCAGTGGGGACGTGGGAGCTGGCAGCCATCCTGCCCACAGCCCAGCAGTGCTGAGCTCTGCAGGGCCCAGGATCACCCCAGACCCAGCATGAAATCCACACCGGGCCAGAGACACAGCTGCTGCTTCCCAAATAATCTCAGCCACCAGCTCTCGGCGCCCCCCTCCATGCTCATGATCAGCTCTACCCCTTCGTCACCTCCCTCCCTTATTTATAGCCTGGCAGGACAGAGGGACACCACAGCCCTGTGACCAGCTGCTGTCACCCGTCCCCACGTCCCACGGCCGCGAGGGGCACAACACGGGGGCACCACCGAGTTAAAAACACTTTTAATGGCCACGTTCGCTTTGGTCTGAATCCAAGGGCACTTGTGACAAGGCAACTCGGAGCCCCCAGGGCCACACGTGGCCCCATGGCTTCCCGGCTGGGGGGCACAGGGGCAGCAAGAGCTGCCTGGGGTCAGCGGGATGGGGAGGGCCCAGCCCCAGCTCCCCACAGCCAGTGCTGGGTCTTGGGGTAAGGGCTGAGATGAAGTTTCATCCCTGGGGGAGGCCCCATGTCGCGCTGGAGCTCGACAATGTGAAAGTTTAATCCTGCATTAAATATTCATCTCAGTAGAGCGGGTGGAAAACCTTCATGGTCACCCTGGGTCCATGGCAGGCGTTCGGAGCCGATGGGGCTCTGTGGGTCCAGCTCACACCTCCCCCGTGCACCAACATGGGGGGTCCCAGCCCCACGTCTAGGGGAACCAGCCCTGCTGCTGCAGAAATGGACACTCCCCACTCTGGAGTTTGGCAAAAGGCTTTCAACCGTAGCACTGGTGGAGCGGGGACGCGTTCGTTGCAGGATGAGAGCCACCTCATCCTTGGGGTCCCCGCCACCTCGCCCCACGGCTGGTGCCCTACCCCCCTGCCCAGGACGGGTGGGTGAAGATGATGTTCCTCCTCTTGGCCCAGCGGGAGAAGACGGCTTTCTCAGTGATGAAGCGGTGGCCGGCGCGTCGGGCTCGCTCGTGCGCCAGGTACATCCTGCACTCGTCCAGCCGGCCCTTCTCGAAGTAGTGGTAGGGCACGCTGGAGTGGTTCTTCTCCCTGGTGGGAGGGGGATGGGGGTGGGTGTGGGACTCAGGGGTACACTGGGACCACCCCGCACGCCCCATGGCCCCCCACGTACCTGCAGTAGTTGTCGCTGACCATGCCGAAGACGCGGATCTGGTCGCACAGCTCCATGGCCAGGATCATGGTGAACCACCCCGTGCTCAGGAAGGAGCCAGACTTCACCCTGCAAAGGACCACGGCGGCGCTGGGGAGGGTGCTGTGGGGCAACCAGACCAGCGGGGCCCAACGGGGATGAGGGGTGCTACAGCAGGGGGACCCCACGGGGCCTCCTCAGGAGCTGGTGGTACCTGTTCTTCCCCGTCTCGTTCTGGAAGACGTCATCGCAATAAGCCATCTTCTCCTCGGTCAGGGTGTAGATCTGCAGGTGGGGGTACGTCTTCATCACCTTCAGCAGCGCCTGGTACGTGGTGCCCGACTTCTCCCGGGTCATCTTTTTGGCTGGCCCCCAGATGACGTAGAGGGTCTCCCGGGACTGCTGGAAGAAGTAAGGCTGGTTCTTCAGCAGCAGCGGGACGCTGGTGTGTGACACCACCCGGACGGTACTCCGCGAGCCCACGTCCTCCTCGTAGCCGGCGGTGGGGGCATGGTTCATGCGCAGGACACACTCCTGCCCGTCGATGTCCCGTCCCAGGCGTGAGCCCAGCATCTGCCCCGAGCTGGAGACGATGGCGCAGCTGCGGCACAGCGCTCGCTCCAGCGGCTGTGGGGAGAAGGGACCCTCAGCTCCGCAGCGGCCGGACGCACCGCAGCCCCATCCGGCAGGGGAAACTGAGGCACAGGTGGGTCGAGCTTCCCCATCACCCCCAGCGCCGCCCCATCCCCACGCACCTTCCCGTCGAGGACGTGGCTGTACGCACAACACGGGGGCACCACCGAGTTAAAAACACTTTTAATGGCCACGTTCGCTTTGGTCTGAATCCAAGGGCACTTGTGACAAGGCAACTCGGAGCCCCCAGGGCCACACGTGGCCCCATGGCTTCCCGGCTGGGGGGCACAGGGGCAGCAAGAGCTGCCTGGGGTCAGCGGGATGGGGAGGGCCCAGCCCCAGCTCCCCACAGCCAGTGCTGGGTCTTGGGGTAAGGGCTGAGATGAAGTTTCATCCCTGGGGGAGGCCCCATGTCGCGCTGGAGCTCGACAATGTGAAAGTTTAATCCTGCATTAAATATTCATCTCAGTAGAGCGGGTGGAAAACCTTCATGGTCACCCTGGGTCCATGGCAGGCGTTCGGAGCCGATGGGGCTCTGTGGGTCCAGCTCACACCTCCCCCGTGCACCAACATGGGGGGTCCCAGCCCCACGTCTAGGGGAACCAGCCCTGCTGCTGCAGAAATGGACACTCCCCACTCTGGAGTTTGGCAAAAGGCTTTCAACCGTAGCACTGGTGGAGCGGGGACGCGTTCGTTGCAGGATGAGAGCCACCTCATCCTTGGGGTCCCCGCCACCTCGCCCCACGGCTGGTGCCCTACCCCCCTGCCCAGGACGGGTGGGTGAAGATGATGTTCCTCCTCTTGGCCCAGCGGGAGAAGACGGCTTTCTCAGTGATGAAGCGGTGGCCGGCGCGTCGGGCTCGCTCGTGCGCCAGGTACATCCTGCACTCGTCCAGCCGGCCCTTCTCGAAGTAGTGGTAGGGCACGCTGGAGTGGTTCTTCTCCCTGGTGGGAGGGGGATGGGGGTGGGTGTGGGACTCAGGGGTACACTGGGACCACCCCGCACGCCCCATGGCCCCCCACGTACCTGCAGTAGTTGTCGCTGACCATGCCGAAGACGCGGATCTGGTCGCACAGCTCCATGGCCAGGATCATGGTGAACCACCCCGTGCTCAGGAAGGAGCCAGACTTCACCCTGCAAAGGACCACGGCGGCGCTGGGGAGGGTGCTGTGGGGCAACCAGACCAGCGGGGCCCAACGGCGATGAGGGGTGCTACAGCAGGGGGACCCCACGGGGCCTCCTCAGGAGCTGGTGGTACCTGTTCTTCCCCGTCTCGTTCTGGAAGACGTCATCGCAATAAGCCATCTTCTCCTCGGTCAGGGTGTAGATCTGCAGGTGGGGATACGTCTTCATCACCTTCAGCAGCGCCTGGTACGTGGTGCCCGACTTCTCCCGGGTCATCTTTTTGGCTGGCCCCCAGATGACGTAGAGGGTCTCCCGGGACTGCTGGAAGAAGTAAGGCTGGTTCTTCAGCAGCAGCGGGACGCTGGTGTGTGACACCACCCGGACGGTACTCCGCGAGCCCACGTCCTCCTCGTAGCCGGCGGTGGGGGCATGGTTCATGCGCAGGACACACTCCTGCCCGTCGATGTCCCGTCCCAGGCGTGAGCCCAGCATCTGCCCCGAGCTGGAGACGATGGCGCAGCTGCGGCACAGCGCTCGCTCCAGCGGCTGTGGGGAGAAGGGACCCTCAGCTCCGCAGCGGCCGGACGCACCGCAGCCCCATCCGGCAGGGGAAACTGAGGCACAGGTGGGTCGAGCTTCCCCATCACCCCCAGCGCCGCCCCATCCCCACGCACCTTCCCGTCGAGGACGTGGCTGTACCCCTGGAAGCTGAGGACGGTGGGTGCCGTGGGGCTGCCCCGAGCCCCCGGGGCCTGGCAGCAGGGCCGCAGGCTGGCGCGGGAGCAGAGCAGGACGTAGAACACGGCGACCACCGCCACGCACACCAGCGTGAGGAAGAGGCGGACCTGGAAGCCAGAGCGAGGAGGTTTCTCCAGGCCCCACCACGTGCACCGGCACCATGTCGGATGCCGGCAGCCCCCGCGGTGCTGGGGAGCACCAGCAGCCCCCTCAGAGGAGGATGTTGGGGCGCGTTGGCCGGGGCCGCTGGGTGCCGGGGCCTCTCGCTTCCTGCAGGCAGCCATGGCTGCTCTCGGGGCCGGGGCTCCCCGCTGCCCGTGGGGACGGCAGCCGCCAGCCTGCGCCCCCCCCAGCACGGCTTTTGGGGCGAACGGGGCCCCCCAGTGCTGGTGGGGTACCCCTCGCCCCCCCCGTCCCAGTGCCCTCCGTCCCAGCGGGTACTCACCAGCGTCTTCATCCTCGGGGGGCCTGGGGGGTCACCCGGCGGGATCCGGGGGGGTCACCTGGACGGTGGGGGGTCGCACCCTGCGTGCAGAGTGGGCTCAGCGGCAGCACTGGTGAGTGGGGCACAAGGGACCCCCGAGGGTGGGGTTCCCCAGCGGACCTCCCCCTTATCCCCACTTCCCCAATGCCCCGAGCACCCCCCGCCATGTGCCGGGACCCCCCTATAACCGGGACCCCCCCCTCCGCCT